GTTTGATTAATTCCACGTATAAAGCCATGGCTTCTCCAAACGCATTTACAAATGGGGCGTTTTTCCACATTCTTAAGGGAGTGGTCAGCAAAAATTTTAACCCTAAAAAACTGGTGGAAAACAATTTATTTAAATTGAGGGTTGAAACGTTTATTTAGATGATTAGCTACCTGTTTCTTATTTAACTGAGAAATGGAAAGCAGATAGAAATCTATAAGACAATCTTTTTTTGGTACAAAACTTGAAAATGGCTTTGAAAAAAGCAAACATTTAGTAAACTAAAGCTTTTCGTCTGACACTCTTCAGAGTTTAAAACGTCAGAACATAGGCCGAAAACTCTGCTAGGTGCATGTTGTATTCACTAATTTTTTATAGAAACCAGTACTCGGGCCGAGTCAGCCCGGGCCGAGTCAGCCCAGATTAACCTTGGCTAGGTAACTTTGTGTTCGCACTACAGAAAATATTACTTGGGTTCACTCTACTCCCTACCCAGGCTGAAACAAGGTTCGATAGTATAGTGTAGACAAGTAATTTGACATTTATGACATTCATAAATGATATCACCTATAATTTAAAGATTTTTAGGCCCTCTGCCCCCCTGTGTCACGTTCTCTCTTAACCCCTCTATTTTATTGCCAATAACGTCACTTCTCACACTCCCCCCCAGCCCTTCGCTATATTTTAATTTGAAAAGGAGAGCAAAGCAAAAAAGCATAATTTCTTTTTAATCAAAAAAATTGCAGATCTAATGTTGCGAAAATTATATTTTTGATAGGTTGCGAACATTAAAACACCTATGAAAGGTACCTTCTTAAGCCTGCCTCGTTTGGGATTTCTCCAGCTCCGAATTCCCAGGAAAATCCTTTACTTATGCTTCTTTTTATGCAAATTTTCGTCCATAATTTTGATTCATATTTTATCTAAGTAATCTATAAAATAACGAAACTGATTTATCTGCGATGTTCGTTGCTTCAGTGTTTAAAAAATGACAAGAAACTAATAACTCTTACAAATTTGAACGCGTTACAAAGATATGGTGATTTTTTTAGGCAGCTACTGCGATCGGAGAAAAATTACTCACAGCGCTGAAAAAGCTCCCTTATCTTGCAAGGATAGCATGTTTTTCTGTGTGCTCAGGGTTAATTCCACTTGCACTTTCTTCTCTTCTATTTTTGGACTTTTTGTTGGTGAAAATATTCTGGAAGCGATCTCTCACTGCTTTGTAGGATACACCAAATTTTGGCCTTTCTACCTGCGAAAAATTATCCAGTTTTTCTCCACCCATCGCTTCTCGGCCTACCAGGACACTTCGAAATTTCCCGGTACGCCCTTGCTTCGAGTTATATTTTTCAAAAACATGAAAACTTTCGGAAGGCAATTATCAATGTTCGCACAGAACTAAAGTTCGCCGTGGTTATGGTTTCGGCGTCATAGATTTTAGAGCTTAGTTAGCTTCACCATTAAATTGAGAAAAACGGTATCAATGATGTATCGAATTTCCACCGGTTATTTGCCAATCCCTCAAAATTGTACAATTTATTGAACAGTTTTCCGATATCTTCAAAGACGCCCAAGACCTATGATTAACCAAGACTTATGACTAACGCAAATTAGTTTCTTCACTTATGACTAATGCGAATTATTTCAAATGCCTGATATCGAATAGCTGAGAGGGTTCTCATTTTTTAAGCATTCGATAACCGAGTACAATCCTATGTTCTTTCCATTCAGAATGGTTGTATTTGGATAAGATTATCGATGCGTTGGCAGTTGGATATAGGAACGTTAGATAATATTACCTAATGAAAGATGGAGGGAGGGGGTTCACACGAATTTTTACGGTCATAATGAGCAATAAATGATGCAAATTAGATGATAATTTAGGGGGAAGAGGATTTTTCCAATGTTGCCTGTATTTTGTTATGTAATTTGTGCGTGTTCCTTTCTTGAATGATAATGCTCTTTCCAGGGCCTATTTTAGTGTGCAGTATTACACTCTTTGTGCAGTATTAATTTAAAAACGAACAGTATTGATTTCCAAAATGTGCAGTATTGAATTTTGGGATTCGTGAAAATGTCTTTTTGCGGCTATCCCAGATTCATGTTTTGTTCACAGAATGTGAATTTTCCTCGTCAGTTCGATATAGACCCCGTTTACACTGTCCCGGGACAATTTTGTACCGTTACGGTTCGCAAGTGTTTACACTGTCGCGGTTCGTTTAGGAGAAGCTGTATTTAGTGAACTGAGGCTTTTATTTTGCCGCCGAAGTCAACAATCGAATTTTTATTGAGAGTTAAATGGAGCGGAAGGCTGATAAAAACTTTACTTGGACGAACGACAAGGTGGCTTTAATTTTAAGTGTTATTTTAGACTACAAAACTGCAAAGTCCAATGAAGGCTTGGACTGGGAAACAATACAAGCCTTTTCTGTGGTCGTCTTTTCTTCAGAATTTCCTTTTCTTCAGAATTTGACAACGTAGTTACGCCACAATCAAAGCCTCGATTACCTGAAACAGCCATACAAAAGACCTCTTTTTGAATCCGTAACAAAATCGTCTCGGATAGGTGTTTACACTGTCCCGTTCAAAAACGGAACCGTGACGGTACAAAATTCGTTCGCTTTCAAAGCAGGGTCTAAACTGTTCCGGATAGCAGAGCAAAATCGACACGGTTCCACAGTGCTAGTTTAAACGGAAGGGCGAACCGCGACAGTTCTGTCACGGTTCCAAACTTGCACGGGACAGTGTAAACGGGGTCATAGAGTTCATGAATTGTAATTCTCGTATAACCATCGGAAAGACTCTCTTATCAAAACTTAAAACAAATCGAAATTCCCAGAACCAAAAACGAAACATCTCCTGTAAATGTCAGCATTGCTGTAAATTTCGTAACTTGATCTTGTCGAAGATAAAACATTCAGTAATAATTTATCAGTTGCCCTAACATGCTCTGGGCATCTAGTAGAAGCTCACTTAACTAAAACAAAGGTAAAGAGTCTAATAAAACTTTTTTGTTTCACTGTCCAGACAAAACATGAGATAGTGACTCCGTTTACAAGAGATAAATGACTATGTTTCTATTCAGGTTTTGTAGCTTCTGTTTGTTTTGTTGCTGTTTTGAAATGTTATTATTGATTGTGTATATTATCGTCTATCTGTTTGTGATTTCTCAGTCATGGCCTATACACGTGTTCAAAATTCGGGCAATTTCCTCGCTACACTTGCATGGCTAAGATACCTGGGGTTTGCAGGGGTTTGCACTGATTGCAACAAAAA